CTGTGACAAACTGTTTCGTCGGAGTTTCACCGACTCATCAGGAGGCTATATATATATATATATATATATATATATATATATCATCACAAACAGAACTGCCCGGTAAACCGTAGGCAGAGAGAGAGAAGAAGACAACAAACGAGGGGCTGTGACAAACTGTTTCGTCGGAGTTTCACCGACTCATCATATATATATATTCCATATAGCAGAAGCTCCAACATGAGGCAGGGGCAAATTTCAGAAAACCTCAGAAGAAAAGATCTTGGACTTGGGAGGAAGGCATACCCCCAACAGAACCTCCAATACGATGGTCGAATTTCAAAAAGACCTTCGAGGGAGGCGAACTTGAAAATGACTTGGCTGCAACCAATGCTTTTAAGCGAGGCCTCTGGAACTGCAGCGACCAGATAGAAAATCTCTCCAGGCAGCGGTTTCTAGGAAAATCGTCAATGTTACAATCCCTCCAAAACACGGTTGCCTCTGGATCATGCTCAATACAATAAGCAAATGGAATTCCCCCCACAACAATCAGCCCTTTTTTTATATTTTTCTCCTTTTTTGTTTCTTTTTTTTTAGGTGAGGGTTTTCCACGCATGCGCAGAGGATCCTGAATCCGGGCTCCTTTCTCTTTTCGACTATTGGCTGTCAAGGAGGGGGAAGGGGGGTATACCTCGGTTCTTAAGAGGCTAAAGGGGCTTGAAGGGGGGTGCCTTACTCTGATTTTATTGTTTTCTTTTTTTATCATTCTGTGTGGAAGTCGGATGTGACCCTCAGCCAAAAGTCGTCTGCATTGCAATTCTACACAGCAGCTTTTTTTCTTCTGGAAACTTTTGGATTTTTCTCTTTTTTTTGGCCCTTGGGCTGCTTAGAACCCTGCCCGGAGTTCATGCCCCGCCCGGCACCCGGGCACGTATCCAGGCACAAATTGGATGCCCGGGTGCCCGGACAAACAACCTAGCTATTAAAGAAGTTTCCTCCATGGGGTGCTTGCTGTGTTCATAAAACTTTCCTAGCATTTTCAACGTCTTTATTTGACATTCCAACAACTATATATTCCAATGGAAGCTGGTCCCTTTATATATTCCAGTGGAAGCTGGTCCCTTTCTCAACACAAGGACTGGCATTCTGAGACTTGTGGATCAAATCCCTTTGCTAAAATTGTTTTTTTCTTTTGAAGTTTTTTCCCTTCTGGAACCCGTCCTTTCTAATTTCATCCTGGTTTCCACATCCTGATCCTGGTCTTCAGCAGAGCACACTGATGACACAGCCAAAAACCTTTTTAGACCTTTTAACTTTTAAGCCATTTATTGTGCGTTGGTTATCCCACAACCCCGTCCAAATAACCTTCCAAGGGGGTGTGAAGGGGTTTTGGTACCCTCGGCAAAAAAACAAAAGAAAGGAAAAGACTAGCTATGTTCGCACATAGCCAGAACGTGTTGTGTCTGTGCTCGTGTCACGTGTGCCAGTTTTTTTTTTTTTTTTTTTTTTTTTTTTTTACTGGACAACCGGACACCAATACAGCCAACCGGACTGTCCAGGTCCAGTTGTCCGGTTAACGGGACATCCGGTTTAATCCAGACTTAACTAGTTTGGAGTCTTTGGAGTGAATTAACACAAATATGGCGAAGTGACAATAATTGCGTAAAAGGTTTTTTTTTTTAATTCAGTAAATGGAGGCTACACTGTACCAATTGCAGGTCATTCGTGTCACGTGAGCCAGTTTTTTTTTTTGTTTTGTTTTGTTTGTACCGGACAACCGGACACTGATACAGCCAACCGGACTGTCCGGGTCCGGTTGTCCGGTTAATGGGACATCTGGTTTAATCCAGACACAGGTCTGGTGAGACTGTGTCCGGTTGTCCGGATGTAACTAGTTTGGACTATGGAGTCTTTCGAGTGAATTAACACAAATATGGCGAAGTGACAATAATCGCGTAACAGTTTTTTTTTTTGTTCATTCAGTAAATGGAGGCTACACTGTACCAATTGCAGGTCATATAGCTTTCCTTCCTAAGAGTCTTCGAAAAAGCCGATACGACAAGTTTTTCATAGTCAATTGAGAATGTTCTCAATCTTAAAAATGAATCCAAAATTTTTGAATATCGTAGTCAAGAAATTGGCGAACAATCACCAAAAAAAAATAAAAAAATGGTGTGTCCGGGGGGACCATGGAAAAAACAAAGGGAGAGACATGTTTTCACTGTGAGATCGGTATGGTTATTGGGGCAACCATGGAAAAAACAAAGGGAGACATGTTTTCCCTGTGAGATAGGTATGGTTATTTGTGTTTGTTGAATGGAGCCCAGATCCAAGGTCATGGGGATCGGAAGGGCTATGAGGAGGGCCAGTAGAGGTCTGAAGGGGTATGAAGGGGGTTAAACTTAAAGGGGGGTTGACAGAGGTGTATTGTGGTGAATCTACTTCAGATCTTACAATGGGAAAGGAATTTTGCAATGATCATTAGTAAACTGTTGCTTGTATGCGAGCACCCTTGAAAACAAAAACAAGGATGCTGGGCCTTGCTGGGCATTCCAGAGAAGTGAGAACTGCTAGTACCTGGCAAGCTTTCACACCATTCTTATTAAGATAGGCTGCAAACAACCTTGTGGACATGCGCTCGCCAAATGATACAAGATAATCCTTTGTCCTGGGTGTCATCTCCCTCATCAACGCAATCCCCGTCAGCAATTGCTGAAGCTCCTCAAGCAACCCTGCATACCATCATAAGCAGGACAACAAGCCAGCAGTCAGCTCATTTCAGCAAAAGAAGACTGCAGCACCAACCAATTATGAGCTCAGGGCACACACACACACACACACAGGGAAAGAAATGAAACAATGCTATATTCCAGAAAAGGTGTACAGTAAGAACCCTAATGCTATTTTACCAGCAAAACAAAAAAAAAAAACACAAGAAAAACAAAAAATACATATCCTCTCGTCCCCCCCCCCCC